ATTTTTCAATTTTCGATTTTTAAGTTTTCCTACCCTTCAATTACTCGATTTTTAAATTTTCCGAATATTTAATTTTTCGATTTTCTGACACTTTGACTTCAATTTTTCGACTTTTCGATTTTTCGATCCCCAAATTTTCGATTTTTCAATTTTTTGATATTTCAATTTTTGGTTTTTCAATTTTTCGATTCTTCAATTTTTCTCGGTTTATCAATTGTTAATTTTTAAGGTTTCTAAATTTTCAATTTCTCGATTCTTCAGTTTCTCAAGTTTTTTATTTTTCAATTTTTAACAATATTAATAATAATAATTTATTACGCAAAATCTCCATTTTACAAAATTAAAAATATATATTTTCAAAGGATAAAAAGGATACAAAGGACAAAAAGGACAAAAAGGATAAAAAGGACAAGAAGGACAAAAAGGACAAAAAGGACAAAAAGGACGAAAAAGGGTAATAAGGACGAAAAAGGTCTAAAAGGAGGAAAAAGGACGGGAAGGACGAAAAAAGACGAACGAGAACGGGAAAGGACGAAAGAGGACGCTAAAAGGACAAAAAATGATAATAAAGAGGAAAAAGGACTGGAAGGATGGAAAAGGACGAACAAGGACGAAAAAGGACGAAAAAGGATAACAAGAACGGAAAAGGACGAAAGAGGACGCAAAAAGGACAAAAAATGATAATAAAGAGGAAAAAGGACGGAAAGGACGAAAAAGAGCGAAAAAAAACGAAAAAAGACGAGGAAGGACGAAAACGACGATAAAGGACGCAAAAGGACGAATAAGGACGAAAAGGTCGAAAAGGACGGAAAATGACGAAAAATGACTAGAGAGGACGAGAAAGGACGAAAAAGAATAATAAGGACGAAAAAGGATAATACGGACGAAAAAGGATAATAAGGACGAAAAAGAACGGACTAGGACGAAAAAGGACGGACTAGGACGTAAAACGAGGAAAAAGGACAAAAAAGGACGAGAAAGGACGAAAAGAACGAAGAAGGATGAAAAAGGACGAAAAGGATGAACAAGTACGAAAAATGATAATAAGGACGAAAAAGGACGCAAAAGACGAACAAGGACGAAAAAAGACGAAAAATGACTAAAAAGGACAAGAAGGACGAAAAAGGACACTAAGGACGTAAAGGGACGAGGACGAAAAAACACGAAAAAGGACGACAAAGGACGAAAAGAACAAAAAAGTACGAAAAATAATAATAAAGATGACAAAGGACGAAACGGACGACAAAGGATGAAAAATGGACGAAAAGGACCAAAAACGACGAATAGTAGGAAACAGTACGAAAAAGGACGAAAGGTACGGAAAAGAACGAAAAAGGACGAAAAATGACGAAGAGGGACGAAAAATGACGAAAAGGACGAAAAAGGACGCAAAAGGACGAAAATGGACGAAATAGGATGAAAAAGAACGCAAAGTATGAAAGGGACGAAAAAGGATAATAAGGACGAAAAAGGAAAGAAAGGACGAAAAAGGACGGAAAGACGAAAAAAGACGAAAAGTAGGAGAAAGGACGAAAAAGGACGGACTAGGACGTAAAACGAGGAAAAAGGACAAAAAAGGACGAGAAAGGACGAAAAGGATGAACAAGTACGAAAAATGATAATAAGGACGAAAAAGGACGCAAAAGACGAACAAGGACGAAAAAAGACGAAAAATGACTAAAAAGGACAAGAAGGACGAAAAAGGACACTAAGGACGTAAAGGGACGAGGACGAAAAAACACGAAAAAGGACGACAAAGGACGAAAAGAACAAAAAAGTACGAAAAATAATAATAAAGATGACAAAGGACGAAACGGACGACAAAGGATGAAAAATGGACGAAAAGGACCAAAAACGACGAATAGTAGGAAACAGTACGAAAAAGGACGAAAGGTACGGAAAAGAACGAAAAAGGACGAAAAATGACGAAGAGGGACGAAAAATGACGACAAGGACGAAAAAGGACGCAAAAGGACGAAAATGGACGAAAAAGGATGAAAAAGAACGCAAAGTATGGAAGGGACGAAAAAGGATAATAAGGACGAAAAAGGAAAGAAAGGACGAAAAAGGACGGAAAGACGAAAAAAGACGAAAAGTAGGAGAAAGGACGAAAAAGGACGATAAAGGACGAGAAGAACGATAAAGGACGAAATGGACGAAAAAGTACGGAAAATAATAATAAGGAAGAAAAGGACGCAAAAGGACGACAAAAGGACGAGGAAGGACGAAAAGGACGAAAAAGGACGAAAAGGACGAAAAAGGATGAAATAGGACGAAAAAGGACCAACAAGGATGAATAAGGACGAAAAAGGACGAACAATGACGAAAAAGGACGAAAAATGACTAAAAAGGACGAAAAAGTACGAAAAAGGATAATAAGAATGAAAAAGGACGAAAAGGACGAGAGGGACGAAAATTGACGACATAGGACGAAAAAGGATGGACAGGACGAAAAAAGATGAAAAAGGATGAAAACGGATGATAAGGACGAAAAAGGAAAATAAGGACCAAAAAGGACGAAAAGGACGAAAAAGGATAATAAGGACGAAAAAGGACGAAAGGGGACGAATAAAGACGAAAAAGGACGAGAAGGACGAAAAAGGACGAGCAATGACGAAAAAGAATAAGAAGGATGAAAAACGAAAAAGGACGAAAAAGGACGAAAAGGCCGAAAAAAGACGAACAAGGACGAAAAAGGATATTAAGGACGAAAAAGGACGAAGAAGGACGAGAAGGACGAAAAAGAAAGAACAAGAACGAATAAGGACGAAAAAGGACGTAAAATGACTAGAAAGGACGAAAAAGGATAATGAGGACGAAAAAGGACGAAAAAGGACGAACAAGGATGAAAAAGGACGAAAAATGACTAGAAAAGACGAAAAAGGATAATGAGGACGAAAAAGGACGAGAAGGACGAAAAAGGACGAACAATGACGAAAAAGGACGGAAAATGACTAAAGAGGACCAAAAAGGGCGAAAAAAGATAATACGGATGAAAAACGACGAAAAGGACGAGAAGGACCAAAATGGACGACAAAGGACGAAAAAGGACGAAAAGGACGAAAAAAGACGAAAAAGGATAATAAGGACGGAAAAGGACCAAGAAGGACGAAAAAGTACGAAAAAGGACGAAAAAGGACGAAAAAGGAAAATAAGGATGAAAAAGGACGAGAAGGACAAAAAAGACGAACAAGGACGAATAAGGACGAAAAAGGGCAAAAAATGACTAGAAAGGACAAAAAAGGATGAAAAAGGTTAATGACGACGAAAAAGGACGAGAAGGACCAAAAAGGACGAGAAGGACGAAAAAGGAGGAACAAGGACAAATAAAGACGAAAAATGTCTAGAAAGGACGAAAAGGACGAAAAAGGACGGCAAAGTACGAAAAGGACGAAAAAGGACGAAAAAGACGAAAAAGCGCGCAAAGGATGAAAGGGGCGAAAATGGATAATAAGGACGAAAATGGACGAAAAGGACGAAAAAGGACGAAAAGGACGGAAAAGGACGAAAAGGACGAAAAAGGACGAAAAAGTACGAAAAGGACCAAAAGGAACGAAAAAGGACAAAAATGGACGAAAAGTACGAAAAGGGACGAGAAAGGATAATAAGGACGAAAAGGATGAAAAAGGACGGAAAGGACTAAAAGGACAAAAAGGATGAAAAAGGACGAAAAGGACGAAAAAGGACGAGAATGACGAAAAAGAAAGAAAAGGACGAAAAAGGACGAAAAGGATGAAAAAGAATAAGGACGAAAAGGATAGACGAGATATAAAGGATAAACAGGATAAAGAGGATAAAAGGAGGAAAAGGACGAAAAGGACGAAACAGGCGAAAAGGACGCAAAGGACGAAATGTATAAAAAAAACAAAAATGATGAAAAGGATGAAATGGATAAAAATTAAATTTTTCGATTTTTCATACTTTTGATTTTTCAAGTTTATAATTTTTCGACTTTTCAACTTTTCGATTTTTTCATCTTTCGATTTTTCAATTATTCAATTTTTCAGTTTTTCAGTTTTTCAATTTTTCAATTTTTCATGTTTTTGTTTTTCCAGATTTTCGATATTTCAGGCCTTTGATTCGTCAGTTTTTCAATATTTTAAATATTGATTTTTCGATTTGGACTTTTCGTTTGTTTAATTTTCGACGTCTCAATTTTTCAGCTTTTTGATTCTGCAATTTTTCGTCGATTTTTCCATGTTTTGGTGTTTCGATTTCTCGATTTTAATTTTTTTTTTAAGATCCTCATTTTTTGGATTTTTCAATTTATCGACTTTTTTTATTTTTTAATTCTTCAATTTTTGATTTTTTAATTATTAATTTTCCACTTTCATGATTTCTCGTTTATATTTAATTTTTCAGTTTTTCGATTTGTCTATTTTTCAACGTTTCAATTTTGGGAATTTTTCAAATTCTGGATTTTTCAATTTTTAGTTATTTTTAATTTTGAATTTTCAAATCTTTAGATCCAGATTAAAAACGAATAAATTAATCTAGACAATTCAAATTATTTGTAGCAAATGAATTTAAAACCGCAACAAAATAATTATACTTAAAAAAAACAAACATAAAACAAAACTCTTAAAGGAGACCGCAGAACCAACGATTTTTTGTCATATTTAAAGTAGAATTGTGTCCATCAAAATACAAACAATGCATTCAAGCTCAAATCGAAATCCGTCAAACTGGATATGTTCTGATTAAATTCGTAAATCGAGAAATCCGTTTCAGGTTAAGAAACTACCGACAAAAATAAAACTTTCCTAGTTTCCTAGAACCTTCCCAAAATCTTTTATTAACATTTCATCGTTAAATTTATCTCAAATTTTGTCATACAATAAATTAATCTCCAAAATGTGTGACCCGCCACAAACAAATTTCCATCAACAAATATGAATCCCATGTACACATTCCAAAACTATTTATTCATCTCCGCTATCAACACGTTGCCCCTTCATATAAATGTTTGAATTGACCATTCCTTGTCAGTCCGTGCCATTATGGCTGTCGTTACCGTTTGTGTGCTCATCCTTTGCCTTTCCACAGTCTCAGCCCACGAAAACTCCGGTAAACTTCACCTCCTCACTCACACCCTTCTAACTAAAAAATTCTAGAACTTTATTACTGGAGGGAATACACTGGAGAAATCCCCCACGACGCCCTTCCAGGCGGCGTGGACGCAGACGGCCAAGACACCTACATCGGTGAAGGATACTACCACGACAACGGGTTCTACATCGCCCAGATCTACCCCGGAGTCAAAGAAGTGGATTTACCGTGCTACGGTGTGAAAACCGCAACCATAAACATAAAAGTAATTAACAATCTCCAGATTTGAGTAGTCGTTATTTTCATGATGTTGTAGATCTTGTGCACGGAAAGCCCGGAATCCTTCCACTGGGTTAAAACTTCTTCCAGCACGTTCAAGCAAGACACCGCCGATTTTGAACTTGTCGTGGCAGGCTATGACGGGAACGGGAACAACGGGATCATGCACGTCGGGAGGATGTTTTACCAAGGGTATGTGACGGTGGGGGACGTGACCCCGTGGAAGACCCCCCACTTGTGGTTTCCGTTTAACAAAATCGAACGAGCTGTCAATTTTTACGAGGTGCTGGTTGTTAGGGAGGTGGAGATTGAGCCGAGGCTGCGGCTGGGTAATAATATGAATGGAACAAATGTGTAACTGAAAATAAATAAATTTATTAATGATTAATTGTGATGGTTGTTTTTTTTAAGTGTTTTTTAAGTGCTCCAGGATACGCTGTTGACTTTAATTTTTTGGGAATTCAGATTTTTGAAAAAAAAAAAATCAAAATTCTATAACATTTTGATTGCTGATGCTAACTTACAATTTCGTCGAATAAATGTTGTTTAAATGTTAAAAAGTAACATTGTGTAAAAAGTGGGGTATGAATCCGTGTTGAATTTTTATCACAGACATCGACATTTTTGGATTTGAATTTTACATTTTTAAATTTTCCATTTTCCGTTTGCTCTTTATGATTTTTCGATTTTTTATATTTTAGATTTCTCGATTTTTTTACTTTTTCGATTTTTCAGTTTTTCGATTTCTTGATGTTTAGATTTCGCGAATTTTTAATTTCCAGATTCTTCAGTTTTTCGATCTTTTAATTTCTCAAATTTTTAAGTTTTTAGATTTTTCGATTTTTCAGTTGTTCGATATTTCTATTTTACAATTTTTCGAATTTATAAATTTTGGATTGTTCAGTGTTTTGATCTTTCCTTTTCTACATCCTTTGATTCTTCGACATCTTGTTTTAAGATTTTTCGGTTTTTCCATTTTTCAATTTTTCGATTTCTGGATTTATCGAGATTTCTATGTTTTGACTTTCCGATTTTTCAATTTCTCAATTTTTTTAGTTTTCTATTTATCAACTCTTTCTTATTTAAAATTTTTCAGTTTTTATTTTTTTTTTCAGTTTTTAATTTTCAATTTTGTAGTTTTAAACTTGTCGATTTTTCGATTTCTTGGTTTTTCAGTTTTCAACTTTTCGGCTTCTCGACTTTTCGATTTTTCGATTTTTCACTTTGGAATTCTCGATTTTTTAATTTTTTCAACTTGAGGTTTCTCAATTTTTTGATATTTCAGTTTTGGGATTTTTTTAGTCTTTCGATTTTCAATATTTCAAATACTCAATTTTTCGAAATTTTGGAACTTCGCAATTTTTTCATTCTTTGATTTTTCAATTTTTCAACCTTACATTTTTTTGATTTTCCTATTTCTCGATATTTCGACTTTTCAATGTTTCAATTTCCCGATTTCCTGATTTCTCGATTTTTTTACTTTATAGTTTTCTCAATTTTTTGATTTTTTTTTAAGTTTAGATTTCGCGATTTTTAAATTTGTGGACTCTTCAAATTTTCGATATTTTAATTTTCAATTTTTAAATTGCTAGATATTTCGACTTTTCGATTTTTTCATTTTTCAGGTGTTCGATATTCTGTTCCAATTTTTCAATTTTTCGATTTTATAAATTTTGAATTTTTCAGTTTTTTCATGTTTCGTTTTCTCGATCTTTTGATTTTTTGGTTTATCGGTTTAAGATTTGTTGACTGCTCAATTTTTTGATATCAGGATTTATCAGGATTTCTATGTTATGATCTTCTGATTTATGGAATTTTCGATTTTTCTATTTATCGATTTTTTAGATTTAAAATCGTTCAATTTTTATTTTCTTTTAATGTTTAAGTTTAATTTTATACTTATAAACTTTTCCATTTTTCGACTTCTGGATTTTCCGATTTCTTGATTTCTCGATTTTTCGATATTTCGATTTCTCGATGTTACAGTTTTTCAATTTTTCGATTTTTCTATTTCTCGGTTTTTCAGTTTTTCAACTTTTCGGCCTGTCGATTTTTTTAATTTTGAATTTTCGATTTCTCGATTTTTTTCAACTTTCGAATACTCAATTTTATGATATTTCAGTTTTGGGATTTTTCAGTCTTTCGATTTTCGTTAATTAATTAATTAATCAATTTTTGGAAATTTTGGGAATTTTACAATTTTTCAATTTTTGACGATGTTTTAATTTTTTGATTTTCGTTTTTTCGACTTTTCGATTTTTCAACGTTACATCGTTTCCATTTTTTTATTTTCCTATTTCTCGATTTTTCGACTTCTCAATGTTTCAATTTCCTGATTTTTAGTTTTTTCAGGTTTTTGATTTTTCAGTGGTTCAGTTTTTTTTATATTTTTTACTTCTCGATTTTTTACTTTTTCGATTTTTCAGTTTTTCGATTTTTTGTTGTTAAGATTCCGTGTTTTTTCAATTTACAGATTCTTCAGTTCTACGATATTTTAATTTTTCAATATTTAAAATTCTAGATTTTTCGAATCCTCGATTTTCTATTTGTAGATTTTTCGATTTTTCAGTTGTTCGATATTTCTATTTCTATTTTAGAACTTTTAGAATTTTTAAAATTTATGATTTTTCGATTTTTCAAATTTTCGTTTTCTGGATTTATCGAGATTTCTATACTATGATCTAATTTTTCAATTCCACGATTTTTTTGATTTTCAATTTTTATGTTCTATTCAATTTTCAATTTTCAGTTTCTTCATTTTAAGTTTTTTTTGATTTTTCCATTATTCGTTTTTTTGACTTTTCAATGTTTCAGTTTCCGGATTGGCTGATTTTTAAAATTTTCAGGTTTTTGATATTTAGATTTATAACTTTTTAGATTTTTCAATTCTTCGATATTTTAATTTTTCAAATTTTAAAATGACAGATTTTTCGATTTCTCGATTTTTCCATTTTTCAGTTGTTCGATATTCTATTTCAATTTTACAATTTTTCGAATTTATAAATTTTGAATTTTTCAATTTTTTGATGTTTCGTTTTTTCGATGCTTTGATTTTTTGGCTTCTCGCTTTAAAATTTTTCGATTTTTCAATTTTTCCATTTCTTAATTTTGTATTTTGATTTTTCAATTTTTCGGTTGTTAAATTTTAGATTTTTCAACTTTTAAAATTTTAGAATATTCAGTTTCTCAATTTTCGATCTTTCGGTTCTCCAATGTTTGTATTTTTCAATTTTTCTATTTTTTAAAACTGGTAATTTTTCGATTTTTCAGTTTTTCGATTTTCGAATATTTTTGATTTCTCGAGATTTTTATGTTTCGATTACTCAATTTTTCTCTATCTGTTCAATTTTTAGACTTTTCGATTTATCGATTTTTTAAATTTCGAATGTTTTTTCATTTTGGATTTTAAAATTTTTGCGTTTTGGATTTTCCAGTTTTTTGATGTTTCTTTTTCTCGATCTTTTGATTTTTTGACTTTTCGGTTTAAGATTTTCCGATTTTTCAATTTTTCGATTTTTAAAATTTTTGATTTTTCAACTTCTCAATTTTTCGGTTTTTGGATTTATCGGGATTTTTATATTATGATCTTCTGATTTTTGGATTTTTCGATCTTTCTGTTTTTCGATTCTTTTAATTTAAAAATTTTCTGATTTATTTTTTTTATTTCTTAATTTGTAATTTTTCCGTTATATACTTTTCGATTTTTCGACTTCTGGGCTCTTCGAATTTAGATTTCTCGATTTTTCAGTTTTTCGATTTTTCGGTTTCTCGATTTTCAATTTTTAGATGTTTCCATTTTTCAATTTTTCGTCACTTCTGTTTTAATTAATTTTTTAATTATTCGACTTCTCGATTTCTCGATTTTTAGTTACGTGTTTTCCATTTTTGATTTTCTCATTTTTTTTCGATTTCTCGACTTTTTGATTTTTCAGTTTTTCAATTCTTCAATTTTTCAATTTTTCAAGTCGATTCTTCATTTTTTCACTATATAGATTCTTCAGTTTTTCTTCGATTTGGCAATTTTTGGATATTTTAATTTTTCGAATTTTTATTTTTAGATTTTTCAGTTTTTGTTTAGAATTCTTGATCTTTCAATGATTCAGTTTTAGGATTTTTCAATTTTTCGTTTATTCGATTCTTCGATTTCTTATTTTTTTATTTTGATTTTTCAATTTTTCGGTTTTTAAATTGTAGATTTTTCAACTTTTAAAATTTTCAGTTTTTCGATTTTTCGGTTCTTCATTATTTGTATTTTTCAATTCTAAAATTTTTTAAAACTGGTGATTTTTGATTTTTCAGTTTAGAGATTTTCGAATTTTTCAGTTTTATCTTTTCGACATTTCTATTTTTTGATTTGTCAATTTTTCGATGATTCAGATTTGGGATTTTTCACTTTATCGATTCTTCAATTTTTCTCCGATTCGTCAATTTTTCGATTTTTTAATTTTCGGATTTTCCAATTCTTCAATTTTTCGATATTTTAATTTTTCAAAGATCAGATTTCGGATTTTTCAAAATTTCAATTTTTCGATTCTTCAATTTCTTAAATTTTATTTTGATTTTTCAATTTTTCGGTTTTTAAATTTTACATTTTTCAATTTTTTAAATTTTAGAATTTTTAGTTTCTCGATTTTTCGGCTTTTCGATATTTGTATGGTTCAATTTTTCGATTTTTTAAAAATGGCGATTTTTCGATTTTTCAATTTTTCGACTTTTTTAATTTTCAGTTTTTTGGTTGTTCAACTTCGGTTTTTTATTTTTCATGTTTTCATGTTTTATGTTTCAATTTCTCCATTTTCGAATTTTTCCATTCTTCAATTTTTAAATATTTTAATTATTCAATTTTTTAAAGATTTAGATATCGATTTACAATTTTTTGATTTTTCAGTTCTTCGATGCCATATATTTTCTCTATTTTTCAATTTTTCGAATTTTTAAATTTTTTATTTTCACTGTTTCGATTTTACGATTTTTTTTTTAAATAATTGTCTCGAAAATAATTTAAAATACCATTTATATTCAAAACAGTTGCATTGTTAGATTTAAAATTTCTATCTTGACCTTGACCCTTCATACCGACGCCTGAAGTAACCACTGTGTGTTTTTGAAAGTCTGTCGAAAATAACTGATTATGAAAATTCAATTTTTCCACTCCCCTGGCGCTTCACTTATTTCGAAACTGAAATCCGGTTTGCTTTATTTCCTATTTATCCTAATATATTTTCTCCGATAAAATACACATTTTAAATTAATTATCCTATCGGATTAACGTCAACGCCGAAACTCCTCGAAGTCTAAAAAACGGAGAACTTAAAGCGTCCTTCAACAATGAGTTTTTTCAGCATCCGGCACTGTTCCATTCGCTTTAATTTCAATATTTTCGGATTCAGCGACCACTTTTACATGATTTTCCCACAATCACACGTCACATCTAAATTTCAGATGCTGAAACGTTATCTCACGAAACAAAAGACAGGGCCACGCCAGATTTCGCCAGATTGATTTTTACGTTCCGGGCGTAGACAGATAATCCCCGGAACTAATGTGGATTACTGCGAAAATTTAAGCACATTTTCATGTTCGCGTCGTTCGTCTGCTTGCCCCCTCCAAAAATCTGATGACGTCACCTCAACATTTTGCGAAGTAATACATTTCAAAAACAATTATCGCTTATTCCCGAAATTCAAATATTGCTCCACTGTGCCGCTTCCCGGTGAAGTTTATAACATCCTTAATCCAGGCACCTCCCACTTCCTTTCCTTCGTAGAAACCTCGCCGCACACGCTCTGAATTCTAAGACAGTAGATTTCCCCCGTCCTTCCACGAAGGACCGCACTTTCCCCGTATTTTATTCATTTGCGTTGTTTTTACTCCAGAAGATATTTTTTGAAAGAGCTAGAAGCATATGCCGTTGACGTCTGAATTAAGCCGAACAAAGTAACATTTGCATATTTATAGTTCTCCGGGGTTTAGAGTCGGGTATTGTTGGTTGCCAGGCCTCCATCAGACTGTCTGTTCAGAATCCTCCGGTGCCGGCGAACTCGATTCCCGGAGTTCGGGTAACGCATCCTGCAATCGAAATGGATTCGGGATATTAAAAACATGCAGCGCTTTCTTCGAGAAGCCGGAATTCCGGTGCAGCGTCGAGATGACGAAGGATTGCATGCCTGTAAAGCGTTCAGGATGTTTTTAGACCAAAGTGAGGCGTGCAATTTTTTCATTTTTAAATCTTTTTCCACGTTTTCGCCTTGAAAAATTTGCTGACAAGTTTAACCTCTTCCAGTATTTTTTGGAAAGTATTTTCAGATTTTTTAATGTCATTTCATCTACGCTCCCCGGAGTATCTTCTAATTATACAATGCTCAATGATCTCGAATCTAGTTATACTTGTTAATGGGTTTTTATATTGAGTTAAATTATGTTTGAGAGGCTTTTGTTGGAATCCCACTTTGTCAGAACAGGTTCTGGAGGCAATGGACAATCCGGTAAGACTTTCCGGAAGGTTTGAATCCTCAAATGAGCATTAAATTGGCATTTATAAACTTGCTGTTGAAGTTGAGGCAAAATATAAACCCAGCCCACCCACCCTATCTCAATTGTGATTATTTTTTTATTAGACGTATGCCAAGGGGGCGGAGCTTAACTGCAAAATCCTTATTTGCCTACAAGAATTTACCATTCTAAAAACATGTTTTGAGTTTCTAAGAATAAAAAATATCATCACAATTGGGATGGGGTGGGTGGGCGGGGTTTATATTTTGCTTTTTTTTCTTAATAGACATGATATTCATTGAACAACACGATACTCAAAAACATGTTTTTAATTTCTTGTAAAGAAATGGGCATTTTGCAGTTAAGCTCCGCCCCTTTGGTTCACAGCGAATAAGAAAAAATCATCACAATTGAGACAGGGTGGGTGGGCGGGCCTACATTTTTTTTGTTTTAATATGTATAGGCCTTCTTTTCACAACATAAAATTTAAAATATGTTTAAAATAGAAAATTTCTACAAGGAAATATAGATTCTGCAATTAGGCTCTTCTCCATAATTGCAAAACTCATATTTTCTTGTTTCATTTTAACCATGTTTTAAGTTTCTTGTTGTTAAAAGATGGCTATGTATATTAAGAAAAAAAAAAAAAAAAAGAAAAAGAAAAATATAAGCCCCACCCACCCACCCTGTCTCAATTCTGATGATTTTTTTTATTCGTCGTAAGCCGAGGGGCGGAGTATAATTACAAAATCCCTATTTCCTTACAAAAATGTACCATTTTAAACGTGTTTTGAGTTTCTAAGAATAAAAAAAATCACCATAATTGGGATGGGGTGGGTGGGCGGGGTTTTAGATTTTGTCTTTTTTTCTTAATATACCTACATGATGTTCTTTGAACAAGATGATACTCAAAAACATGTATTTAATTTCTTGTAAAGAAATGAGTATTTTGCAGTTAAGCTCCGCCCCTTTGGTTCACGACGAATAAGAAAAAAATCATCACAATTGAGAGAGGGTGGGTGGGTGGGCCTACATTTTTTTTTGTTTTAATATTTATAGGCCTTCTTTTCACAACATGAAACTTAAAACATGTTTAAAATGGAAAATTTCTATAAGGAACTAACGATTTTGCAATTAGGTTCCGCCCCATAACTGCTAAATCCATACTTCCTTACCGAAATGTACCATTTCAAGCGTATCTTAAGTTTTTTGTTGTGGAAAGATGACTATGTATATTAAGAAAAAAAAAAGCAAAATATAAGCCCCGCCCACCCACCCTGTCTCAATTCTGATGATTTTTTTTATTCATCGTAAGCCGAGGGGCGGAGTAAAATTGCAAAATCCCCATTTCCTTACAAAAATTTACCATTTTAAACGTGTTTTGAGTTTCTAAGAATAAAAAAAATCACCATAATTGGGATGGGGTGGTGGGCGGGGTTTAGATTTTTGTCTTTTTTTCTTAATATATATGATATTCTTTGAACAACACGATACTCAAGAACATGTTTTTAATTTCTTGTAAAGAAAATAAATATTTTGCAGTTAAGCTCCGCCACTTTGCTTAACGGCGAATAAGAAAAAATCATCACAAGCTTAACGGCGAATAAGAAAAAATCATCACAATTGAGACAGGGCGGGTGGGCGGGCTTATATTTTGCCTTTTCGTTGTAATATGTATAGCCTTCTTTTCACAACATGAAACTTAAAACATTTTTAAAATGGAAAATTTCTCTAAGGAAATAACAATTTTGCAATTAGTTTCAGTCGCATAATTGCAAAATCTATATTTTCTTTCAGAAATGTACCATTTCAAGCGTATTTTAAGTTTTTTGTTGTGGAAAGATGACTATGTATGTTAAGAAAAAAAAGCAAAATATAAGCCCCGCCCACCCAACCTGTCTCAGTTCTGATGATTTTTTATTCGTCGTAAGCGAGGGGGCGGAACTTAACTGCAAAATCCTTATTTGTCTACAAGAATTTACCATTGTATATATGTTTTAAGTTTCTAAGTAAAAAAAATATCATCACAATTGGGATGGAATGGGTGAGCGGGGTTTATATTTTGTTTTTTTCTTAATATACATGATATTCTTTGAACAACACGATACTCAAGAACATGTTTTTAATTTCTTGTAAAGAAATAAATATTTTGCAGTTAAGCTCCGCCCTTTTGCTTCACGGCGAATAAGAAAAAATCATCCCAATTGAGACAGGGCGGGTGGGCGGGCTCATATTTTGCCTTTTTGTTATAGTATTTGTAGACTTCTTTTCACAACACGAGACTTAAAACATGTTTAAAATGGAAAATTTCTATAAGGAAATAACAATTTTGCAATTAGTTTCCGCCCCATAAGTGCAAAATCCATATTTCCTTTCAGAAATGTACCATTTCAACCGCATTTTAAGTTTTTTGTTGTGGAAAGATGACTATGTATATTAAGAAAAAAAAATATATATATATTAGCCCCGCCCACCCACCCTGTCGCAATTCTGATGACTTTTTTTATTCGTCGTAAGCCGATGGGGCGGAGCTTAACTGCAAAATCCTTATTTGTCTACAAAAATTTACCATTGTAAACATGTTTTAGGTTTCTAAGAATAAAAAAATAATCACAATTGAGATGGGGTGGGTGGGCGGGGCTTATATTCTGCCTGTTTTTCTTAATATACGTAGTATTTGAACAACACGATATTCAAGAACATGTTTTTAATTTCTTGTAAAGAAATAGGTATTTTGCAGTTAAGCTCCGCCCCTTTGGTTCACGGCCAATAAGAAAAAATCATCACAATTGAGACACGGTGGGTGGGTGAGTCTACATTTTTTTTTTTTGTTTTAATATGTATAGGCCTTCTTTTCACAACATAAAACTTAAAACATGTTTAAAATAGAAAATTTCTTCAAGGAAATATAGATTTTGCAATTAGGCTCCTCTCCATAATTGCAAAACCCATATTTCCTTGTCTCATTTTAACCATGTTTTAAGTTTCTTGTTGTTAAAAAATGGCTATGTATATTAAGAAAAAAAAAAAGAAAAATATAAGCCCCGCCCACCCACCCTATCTCAATTCTGATGATTTTTTTTTTCGTCGTAAGCCGAGGGGCGGAGTATAATTGCAAAATCCCTATTTCCTTAAAAAAATTTACCATTTTAAAGTGCTTTAAATGTCTAAGAATAAAAAAAATCATCACAATTGGGATGGGGTGGGTGGGCGGGGTTTATATTTTGACTTTTTTTCTTAATAATACATGATATTCTTTGAACAAGCTGATACTCAAAAACATGTATTTAATTTCTTGTAAAGAAATAAGTATTTTGCAGTTAAGCTCCGCCCCTTTAGTTCACAGCGAATAAGAAAAAATCATCACAATCGAGACAGGGCGGGTGGGCGGGCTTATTTTACCTTTTTGTTTTAATATGTAAAGCCTTTTTTTCACAACATGAAACTTAAAACATGTTAAAAATGGAAAATTTCTATAAGATAAATGTCGATTTTGCAATTAGGTTCCGTCCCATAACTGCAAAATCCATATTTCCTTACCGAAATGTACCATTTCAACCCTATTTTAAGTTTTTTGTTGTGGAAAGATGACTATGTATATTAAGAAAAAAAAAGAAAAATATAAGCCCCGCCCACCCACCCTATCTCAATTCTGATGATTTTTTTTATTCGTCGTAAGCCGGGGGGCGGAGTATAATTGCAAAAACCCTATTTCCTTAGAAAAATTTACCATTTTAAACGTGCTTCAGGTTTCTAAGAATAAAAAAATCATCACAATTGGGATGGGGTGGGTGGGCGGGGTATAGTTTGTCTTTTTGTCTTACAATACATGCTATTCTTTGAACAATATGATATTCAAAAACATGTACATATTTAATTTCTTGTAAAGACATAAGTATTTTGCAGTTAAGCTCCGCCCCTTTGGTTCACGGCGAATAAAAAAAAAAATCACGATTGAGACAGGGCGGGTGGGCGGGCTTACATTTTGTTTTTTTGTTTTAATATGTATAGCCTTCTTTTCACAACATGC